TTTCTAATACTCTCAAGGGTTTAAATGCCAAGAGCTATGGAGACTTTAATCACTAACATGCATTTAAGTGGTTAGGCAGGGATAAAATAGATAATTGGCAGTATTACCCCTTCTACCAAAGTTTCATATGCAAGATGTTCATAGCACGTTTTAACATAAGGGGTCAAAAATGAGCCCACAGCAATAGGAACTTGAAGCATTATAACTAAAATTCACTAGTATGAGCCAGAAATAGGGAGAATAAGTGACCCCAAAGAGATTCCTGGGAGACTGATCTGGCCATATGCAGGAGAGCCTGGGTAGCCCATTTTCCATCCAAACTCCACCACGAAGATTCCTTCAGTATGATGTTTGAAATACAGCTTTGTGGAAAGTGACAAGTTCAGTCCCTGTGTCAAACTGCCACTGAACTTTGGTAACATCTGATAGATCCTGGCATATTCTTACAAAAGAATGCTGGGATATAATGAAAATAAGCCAATAATAACTACACTCGCCACTGTGGGGAACACGGGCAAACACGTATTTGAGTGAAATAAGCCACAACAGAAGAGTGGGCGATTTCTTCTCCACTTGTGTAAGATCAAAGCCGGGCAGGTGGCCGAAGAGTTACCCTGGGGAAGGGGTCCTGATTCACGAGGAGCCGAAGGATGGCTGCTGGGCACTGGTCACTCCTTGTTGTTTTAAATCTGAGTAAAGGTCATGCGTGCATCTCACCTATGAACATGCTGAGCTCTGCCCTTCTGGATAGCCATCCGTGTTCATGGTAGATTGAAATCACTAGTCCAGATGCAAACACATGCTCACTTACTAACCAAAGCGACGGCAGAAAAATTCATTTGAAATATGCTTGCTTTGAAAGATACAGCTCCTGTTTGAAGTTTAAATGGAAACAGTTCATGAGTACTCAGATTTGTTTTCCTGCTTTAAAGGCAGCATCTTTTCCTGAGTGTGTGGCGCTGTGGTTACATTTTGTAGTTACTATTTGGGCACAGCGTTCTGAAGACTTGGCAGAACATGGTTCTCAATAAAAGAATGCTCAATTGAATTAAAAATGATTAGCAAATGCTGTTTCTGTATAAGCTCTTCCACATCTTTTGTGAGTTAGCATTTCTTCCTCTTTCAAAGGCCACAGAATTATTGCTCTCAGTGGTGCATACAGCATCACTTTATATTGCATGTAGTTTTGTAAACTTCCTGGGGCCAGCTTGTCTGTTCATCACTGACCTCGCTGTGACAGGTGGTAACATCATAACACAGATGCAGTCCTGTGTACAGGGGCTAGATCACCTGGGTTCAGGCTTTCCCTCTGTTACTTCTTAGAATTTGTACACTTCGGGTAAACATTTAGCCTTTGTTCTTTTTTTTTTTTTT